ATCTGATTTCTGGTGGAGGCTGTGGAGTAGGGAATGGACCTCGTCGGCGCGTGTGGAGGAGAGAGATTGGAGATTAGTGGAGGAGAGGAGATGAAGGGAGGCGATTCGACGGAGGTTGCGCCAGTGATCGCCATAAGAAGTCCAAACAAGAGAAGTGTAGTGATGGCCTAAATGTTTACCGGCGTAAGGCGGGGGCGGTTAGCGAAAATGACGTCGTTTTTGGTGAGACATTGGTCAGCGGCGGAAGGGGAAGAGGCGAGGAGGACTGGACGAGAGCCGAAGCGGAGGAGGAGAACAGGGCCGTATTGGTCGGAAATTTTGGCCAAAGTCCGGTGGAGGGGCGGCTTGAGGAGGTGGAGATGGCCGACAAAGGGGAGGGCTGCGAAAGGGGATGGCGGGCGCTTCCGAATCTTACTGAGAAGACGACGAATCGAGACGAAAAGGAGGTAGAAGAAGAAAAAACATTGCAAAATAATGGATCCTATTTTCATTGGCTTGAAGTAGGTGGTGTGTTTCCATGTACATAAGTTACTTCATTTTAAATATATGATTTCATCTCTCTTTTGTGATGTCAAACATTTCACGTTGTTGAGGACAAAATTCATCGGAAGAAAGTCAAATATCTTCCTTATATAATTGGATGATATAACTAAATAGATGAAGATGTATGGTAAATATACAAGGGTATATAGAGTGGATAGATGGTTAAAAATTTTATCTCTTCTTTTATACATTCTTCTTTGTTTGTTAGTTGTCTAAATTTATGTTAAATTTTTTTAATCCTTTTTTTATTAATTTTTAGTAATCATTTAGAAACCCATAAGCCTGGAGAGTAAGGGTAGTTCTGGTTGGTGATCCATGGTATATAGATACACGATAACCTTGTCCTTGACTACTCACATCCGTCCCTCGATGGTGTTATTAATTAATTCATATTTATTGTTTTAATTAGTCTTAATAAATTTTAATTATTGCATTTATTATTATTATTATTATTATTATTATTATTATTATTATTATTATTTAGAACAATACATTTATTATTAATATTAATCTTTATGAGTAATTTAATATATATTTTTTTAAAATATACATGTACCTGTAAAATGTATATTTATATATATTTGAAAGAAGTAGTTTTTTTATAGATATATCTAACGCAAAAAAGTGCTTTCCTCGATAATTATAATATATTAAATAACATTAATTTTAATTTATAATTGATATTAAATAGATGATTAACATTATATTTAATATCTCAAATATGTAAATCCAAGATGTTTAACATCCACCCCGTGGAACAAAACCTACAATCCAAAAAAGTGCTTTCCTCGAAATATCAGTCAACATTGATATGTTTGTAAAATCGGAACCTCGACATTTTCGTTGACATCGACATTTCAAACCTTGATTATGTAATCTAATGCAAAGTTCGGTTCACATTAATACAAGTAATTTCTACTTATCCTTAAGTTAACCAACTAATAAGAGAAATATATGATTAACTTGCTAAACCAATCTGGTGCAACGCTGCAACCAAACTCTGCAAGCCTAAGTTCCGGTTACCCCCAACTACTCTTGCTTAAAAAAACTCCCAAGGAAAAAACAGCTGTTGGAAATGGATGTCCTTCTTTGTAATTATTCTTTTTATTTATTTTTTTATATCTGTGTATCCGAACCAACTTGTGTACCTCGACTATATTTGATTAGACAAGGAGACTCGTAGGATATTAAATCCTAGGTAGATGGCCATCCCAAGCAAGGTTAAGTTAACAAAGTTATAATTCTATTTAACCCACGGTTATCTTCTCGTCATACCTAGCAGCCCATGTGTGTTGTAAATTGTAATTAATAAGATATTCCTTCCAAAACCTTCGAAGGTTTTAAACATATGTTTCATTTCCTCCCTTAAACTAAAAATTAAGGATGAATCTGAAAAAGCAGAGCTAGGAATTTCATGACACAGAAGAAAACTAGAGTACATTTTTGAATGTGAGAAGCCTAAAGGTGTTACACACTGCTGCAGAACTTATCCTTCAGGATTTGAATAATCCACATTAGGACGACAACTTAAATCAAAGTATTAGTTCCTTTCTCCACGAAGTCAATGGCATTTACAGGAGTTGTATACCGACAATAAGAGTACAAAAAATAAAGAAAACTAGGTTACAAAGCATCAAAAGTTGCTGACCTGTTAAGAGAATTTGCTTTAGCGATCCAACTCCACACTTGGAAGACTTCCCTTATGTCAACCTTAATATATCTTTAATAATTGCTGCACAAGAAACAAAGTAAGACAAAGACAAAAATATCTTCAACCTTGAGCCTTACATGGAATCTCTCTCCCCCTAAAACCCTATCCATATCCTTGAGCAATCCAACTCCACTCTTTCAGAATCTGTCTTACATAAACCTAAATATATCTCCCAGTAACTTGCGTGAAAGAAACAAAAGAAATCGAAAACAGAGAGAAATACACTATGCAGGAATGAAACAGACCAGGGGAGGATAAAAACACTGAATCTGTGGCCCCGGGGTCCTGAATTGTAAAAGAATCGTAATTACCCTCTTTCTATTTTATTCCAAGTCAACAGCACTTTATTAACTCCTTTGATTAGGATCATTTTTGTTTCAAAACAGAAAAGAAAACATACTTCCTTTTTCAGTTGATAAACAACGAATCTGGGTTCAAGTAGATGAAAATGCATTTATTCATTCATAAAACCTCATTTTCTTATAGCGACTATTTAAGTACTTCCCATATGAGGCTCCACTCTTAGACACTAGTTGTTGCTAAACAATCCTTAAATTTTTTTGAAAATGTTACTTTTCTAAATTTCGACATCAAAACAGAGATTACAATCGAGATACCCAGTGAGAAATATAATTACTCTATGCTAAAGTAGCCACAGATATGAAAGATGGAAAAATCACAAACCACTTCCCAGTGGACTTGTGCCTACCTCGTCAATCCTTGATGATTAATTTCTTCGATCAATGTCTCCACTTTACCCTATGATCAGACATTAAAAAAAAAAAAAAGGAANTAGTGTTGGTCATATACTAGACCAGCACTATAGTTCTAGTACACAAATATTCATGGCCTTCAAATTCGAGTAGAAATTATTCAAACCAATTTAATTAAAAAAAAAAAAAAGGAAACAAATCAACAAAATAGGAAAGATTGGTTGGACCAGTCAAGGGATATTGACATACCACGAAGGCTAGCAACGTGATAAAACAACACCCTACAGTATGTTGGAACGTAATCGTAGGCATTCAAAGTCATTACAGCCATAAGCAAGAGAGACTCGTACACAAAAATGTTGGAATAAACTCAATAATGCTGATCATAAATTTGTAGTGCAGGGCTCTTCATCAGCGAACAAGAAAGGGAGTCCGATTTCGCCTGTGTTGATGAATATCCATGAACAATGGTCGGAAGAATATCTCCGATTCCAGCAATCATCGGAAGAATATCGCCTATTTCTGAACGACGACAGAGAAGTTCAGAAGAGAAAGGGACCGAGCGCGGGACGAAGAGGCCAAACGAACCCTATATATAGGACTTGCCAGCGTAATTTTGACGCAATGACTTTGACCGAGTCAAACTTTGACTCTTTGCCAGCTGGCAGTCCGTCAAAGCGTGAAATTTACGCCTAACGGCCAGGTAAGATTTAAACCAAATTTTATTTATGGCGAACTTTGGGAGCGGAGTGATTTTCTAAAAATTTAGTTTAGTAGACATAAATATTAAACATTTAGATTTAAACTGTTTAAAATAGTTAATATCTAATCCTTTTTTAGACAAAAGGAAAAATGTGTCAATTTAAATTTGTGTCAACAAATATTTGTGTTGCCATGAACATTAATGTTTGAAAATTAAATTTATTTTTAATTGATTTTAATGTAGTACTAGTATTGAAAGATTATAAATTGGATTTCTTCCTATTAAATAATTATAATCCATCAATCCTCACTAAATAATTCTAAATGAAAACTTGATGATTTTAACTGAAAAGAGCAAGATTAAAAGCATTACTTAATTTTTTCCGAAAATACTTTTAAACTACTAGCTCAAAAGTATAAATCTAGAAGCATATAAATTATAAATATTTCGCGTGTGTTATCTTTTTCCAACCATATTTTTTAAAATTCTTATAAAAAAAAACAATATTTTAAGAAAATGGATTAAAAATTAGGGTAGACGTAACAATGATTTATTAAAAATCCATTAATCCAAAAATGTTTCTATAAAGCTGTTATCTTAAGTAAATCATTCTCTACAAAACAATTCGATATAAGATTGTGCATTTAGAAGAAAATTTATCGTCCAAAGTTTAGAATTATTTTTAAAACAACTATTTTATGATTTATTTTCAAAAAAACATGTTGGTTACGTAAAAATGTACATGATCATCAAACTTTAAGGTGGGAGATGATAGTTCAAATTAAYAATCCAGAAGAATTACGAATAAAATAGTACGAGTCTTTGACTAAAGCTATCTTCAACCTTTAAAATTCTCAACTTCACAAAATGAAAAAATATACAAGCAACCAACCATTATATAAGTTACTTAAGCTGAGTATCGAAGAAGTATAGAAAGACGTACCGAGAGGAATGCATCCATGGCACTCAAACTCCACTCCACGCTCAAACAGAAATTCCTTATGACAACGTAAATGTATCTGCACGAGAAACAAAGGTAACAAAAAATAAACAATAACAGAGGAAATGAAGAATAAAAGTGCAGATATGAAATATGCTGCAAAATAAGCTTTTCAATCACTTGGAAAACAAGGGATTTGATGATGATGCAAATTTAAAAGACATTTAAGCTTCTCCCCCAGTGCCAATATATCACCCGAATGCAGCATCCATACACTCCCACTATTCTTGCTGCTAGTATATATTACTTACAAGAAAAAATCACAAGACAATTTGATTTGTTAATTATAGTAAAGGGTATATACTACTGTATAAGAAGAAAAAATTCATATTTTGTTCGAATTGAAAACGACGAACATATATATATATATATATAAAGAAAAAAAATGTTATTGTTATCAAAAGATTTATGTTAATATTCCAAAATAGCATACAATTGAGCCTGAGAGAAAATAGGGCTAGTAATAGGTAGTTACTTACCTCAGCATCAACAGAAAAAGGCGAACTGAGAGGTTACACGATACCTACACAAATCAATGCAAGAAATCAAAATAGTAGTAAAAAACTTTAAAAAAACATGGAGAAACAACGATCGGACGAATAATCCCGACCAGCTCTCCCCTCATTGAACCAGCTCTTAGTGTCATAGTTCATCTTCTCATATAGCTTTTAGAAATAGTTTTAAAAGGTATATGAGTCAAACTCTCGTTAGTGATGTTCCAATATTTATTCCTTTTATATTACTTTAAACTTATGTGGGAATTTTTTTTTTTTTTTTAAATCTTTCCCCTCCCTTTTTCTCTCACTCTCCTCCTCCTTTCCTCTTTTCTTTCTCACTCTTCCCTCCTCCTCCTTCACAACTCCTCTAGTTTCCGAACCCCTACTGCACCATTGCTGTTGAAAATAAAATCCTAAACAAGATAACAGATTTGTTTTCCTAATTTGAAATGTGAAAGAGAGATTATTGAAGAATTGAAGAAAGAGTAAATAAAAAAAGAAAAATGAAAAAAGAAAAATCTCACTGTTGTTTTTTCCTCTCCCATCTACAGGATTTGTAACGATTATTGTAATGCGTAGGAGTAGTGGAGGAGGAGTAAACTTTTGCAAACACTAATATATTTTCTTAGGAGGTTGAGGATAATTTACATAGAAATCACTAGAAAATTAAGTAAAAACATATTTTACACTGTAACTAAACTTAAAGTAGGTTAAACAAGTTCTGCTCTCCCTAAATTTTAGGATGAGTTAACAGTCAAGGATATCTAGCTTCTGCTCTCTCCCTTTCAGTTATCCTAAAAAATCAGTAATGAGCTCTCAGTGTCATAGTTCATCTTCTCCAAGTTGGGTTGCACGGCAAACTTAATCATCGGCGGAGGTCCACACGCCAACGCTAAAGTATCTACTGAAGCTTTTGGAAGATGCTCCCTCATGATACTCTCCGTCACAACACCCACACTGAACTCCCACCCTTCTCTAACACTTTCCTTCACAACGTACCACACTTTAAACCTCTTATCACTCTTCACCCACTCGTCCATCTCCTCCCTCAGCAAAATATCATCCTCCGTCCGGTTAGCGTACACCAAAAACATCTCCGTCTCGTCCTCCGAATCCTTCAAAATCGCTTGCGCCACTTGATAAATGGGCGTGATCCCCGTCCCACCAGCCAACATAGCTAGCTTCTTCGCGTGCTTGCGCTTGCCGTCCACTACAAAGTTGCCGCGGCCCACGTATTCTATGTGACCCAATGGACCTTTCACTTCAAGCTCCGA